TTTTGTTCTTCAGTCTAGTTGTGGAAGGCATCACTTCACTGGCCCATGTTGGTATTATCATTGCACTCTTCCCGGGCGAGGCAGATCGGTGGCCGGCCTCTGGAGGGCTGCTCACAGTGGCTCACGCTGGCCTGCTGCCAGCCACTCACAGTAGCTTATGGCAGCCCACTGCAGCTTCACCGCAGCCTACGCCCTCACTGGGACTCAGCAGCTCAGCTCCAGGTCGAGCTGTTGTTCACCATCTTAGCTGTAGAGGGCGCAGCGTCACTGGCCCTCATGTGGGATCCAAACCGGGGCCCTACTGCTCAGAGCTGGCGTCCCAAGCCAGCTCTTAACCAACGCGCCACTCCGCCAGCCCCCAACACAAATACTTTGAAGGGGTCTTTAATAGCCTGGCCTGCTTTTCCAGCCTCATCCCCTGCCACTCCCCAGGAAGCCGTCTTTGTCCCAGAGACAGCCACAGAGGATTACTCACCAGGACTCTCATGCCTCTGTGCCTTTGTTCGGGCTTTCCCTTGGCCTCGCATGCCCCACCCCCTCACCTGAACAGCTCTGAGTCATCTTTCCAGTATCAACTCAGAAGTCAGGGCCTCTTTGAAGCCTTCCCCCCCCCCCCCCCCCCCGCCCCCGTCATTTCTCTCCTCTGTGTTGTATGTAATTTTTCATCTTCCCCCATTTTCCATGCACTTTAGAATAAAGACTACAAGAAGATTTGGAATTTGTCTCCCTCTGAAACCAAAGCTTGCGAAAACAGAAAACCCCGACAACCATGGGCGTAGCCATCTGCAAAAGCAACACCTTAGAAAATGGTTTGGGAGTGATGGGAAGGAGGCTGGGGAAATACTACGGGAGCTAAGGGGTGTCCTCAGCCCTGAGCTGGAACTAGTGACAGCAATTCATAACAACAACAAGGGTAACTAAAACCCTTAGTGCCCCCCAAATACCACATGTTGTTTTAAGTACCCTACCTACCTTATCTCCTTTAATCTTGAGAGCAACCCTATGAGGGAGGATCAGTTATTGGTTCCATTGTGCAACTGGGAAAACGGAGACTCAGAGAGGTTAAGTTACTTGCCCAATGTCACAGAGCTAAGTAAAGGACCCAACCTCTAGACAACTGGGCCCTAAAAGCCCCCATTTTAAACCCCCAAGCTGTGCTGCCCCTCATACCCTGCTCTAACCACGTGTACTGCATCCTCCTGTAACAGGTGAAGGGCGATTGATGGTCTGCGAAAGATTGGCGAGCAAGGAGTTGGACCTTCAGAAAGTGCTGGCTTTTGTCCAGTGCTAGCCAAGGCCAAAGACCCGGTGTCTGGCAGATGACAGTCTCCGGAGTAGTTATATTTCCTGAGACCAGGAAAGCTGGGTCAGTTTCCCTGGAGACCATCAAATGCTCACCTGTCCTTCCCTCTGTCCTGCACCTTACTTTTATAGGACTGCTGGGTTTCCCACACAGTGCTTGGTCCTGGAGATACGGTGGTCCTGGGCAGACCAAGCTGGGAAAGAGCAAACCTCCAGCCGGACACGGCAAGTGCCATTTAGAAAAGAGAGGCTATGGGAGCTCAGAGGAGGAAGATGGTGACCAGCTCTGCAAGACAAGGTCAAGGCCCAGGAAGGCTGCTTGGAGGACACAAAGCTTGAGCTCAACATCAGAGAAATATGTGCCCACATGTTCTTGTGGCATTAGTAGGGTTTCAATTTTCACAGTCAAATTTTTTTTTTAATGCATTGGGAATTAATTTTGGTATAAGGCGTGGGGTTGAAATCTAACTGAATTGACTTTTTCAAATGGTAACCTAGTTGCAAATGGTTTTCAAGCAACTCATCTTTCCTTACTCTCTTGAGATGCCATCTCTATCATATGCTAAATTGGTTTATGTTTGATCTATTTCTTCACTTTTTATTCTGTTCCATTGATCTCAGGAGGGAGGTACTATATTGTAGTGGCAAAGTTTGCAGCTCTTAAGTCAGATTAACTGGGGTGTGCCTCCGTTTCCTCATTTATGAAATGGAGATAATAATAGTACCTACTTCATATGATGGCTGTGATGATGGAATGAGATAATGCACAGAAAGTACTCATTACAGTGCCTGGCAGGGTAATCTATCAATGAATGTCAGCTGCCATGATGGTTCCTATCTGCCCATCTCTGGGCTCGGAACCCAGGGGGGTAAAATTACTAAGCACATACCTTTGAGCTGATGGGGCAGCTCTGCTACTTACTATCTGCATGACCTTGGGCAAGGTACTTACCTTTTACTGTCTCTCTGTTCTGGTTCCTCACTCAGACATGGAGATATAAAAGTACCTACTGCAGCGTGTTGTCAATATTAAACATGACAGTGTTGGATGGGGCATGACACATAATAGCCCCTCAATGAATGTTTACTCTTCTTCTGCAGATTATTATTACAACGTTATAATTTATTACCTGTCTTTATGTGTTGTAGCCCCTTCTCATTATCTTTCCCCAAAAAAATTTTCTGGGGAGTGGCAGTCGTTCAGAGCCAGGTCTACTGTGAGTGAATAAAATAGAATTCCTGGATCTGCAAAGCTGATGCCTAGCCCCTGACCTGCACTGAAAGTCAACGTGACCAGTGAGGTCTTGAGTGAACAACCAGTAGGATTTTGGAGGAAATAGGGAAGGGAGTGGGGCTGGGGCTTTGAAGTTCACATAGCAGGTTTTTAAAAATGTTTTTATTTTGTCTTAATTCTTCCTTTAACAAAGGAATTTGTGTAGTTTAAAAAGCCAACAGTTCTACAAGGCATTTGATGAAAAAGCAGTCCCCTGCTCACACACACACACTCCTCCATAAACCATTCTCAAATTTCTTGGTTGCTTCTTTGGGTACTTGCCTTTACATTTCTAAATAACATGCTTATATTATTATTTCTTTTTTTCTGTTTTAATTATTTATTTATTTTTGTTTTAAAGAATTTTTTTTTAATTGGGGAATTGGGGGAAGGGGAACAGCACTGGGGAATCGGGGGAAGGGGAACAGACAGGTTGCTGTCATTTTGTTCTTCAGTCTAGTTGTGGAGGATGTTGCTTCATTGGCCCAAGTTGGTCCATCATTGTGCTCTTCCCGGGCGAGGCAGATCAGTCGCCGGCTTCTGGACAGCCGCTCACTGCGGCTGTTGGCTGCTAACGCTGGCTGCTGGCTGCTGGCTACACACGGTAGCCCATGGCAACCCACTGCAGCAGGGGCTGCAGCCCACGTCGTTGCTGGCGACTCACGGCAGCCCAGCTCCAGGTTGAGCTGTTGTTCAGCATCTTAGCTGTAGAGGGCAGTGTCACTGGCCCTCATATGTGGGATCCGAACTGGAGCCCTCTGGCGTCCCAAGCCAGCTCTTAACCAATGAGCCACTCGGCAGGCCCCTCTTTTTTTCTATTTTAGATATAATCAGTTGACTGCCTGCCATGGAAGATGAGGACATAGTTCTCTCCCCGCCCCCACACTCTCACTTGAAATGTATTCCAGTTTTTAGTTAACTTAGTCTCTCAGTGTTCACATTATTATGGCTGTGAAAATATTCTTCACTGCTGAGTTATATACTAAGACTCTGTAAGTCTGTAAAAACTGCTTTTGTTAATTAACACGAAGGACATGGGGCTGAGAAACTTCATTCTCTAAAATCATGGTCATTAACTTTGCTGTTTGAAATCAATCAGTGAGAATGGGAACGTCCCACTCTTGCCCGGTGGCCTGAGCCACGTGGATTGCTTTGACACAAAGACGTAGTGATTTCCAACCTAGGCGCCAAGCTTCTGATAATGGGGTTTTGGACACAACAGTCTAGATTTATCGTAATTGTATTATCTATTACATAATTATCTAAAATTAATTATCTTAATTTTGTAGTTTTCCAGGTGGACCCTCAGTCCACTTCTCAGCCCAGGGTTGCTGTTGATTTCCTCACTTAATCCATGCTTGCCTTGAACTTCACTTAATCCATGCTTGCCTTGAACCTATCAAAAACACTGCTAATACGTATTACCTAAACTCCACCTTCCCCACATCCTGCAAGGACGCTGTTTCTAACTTTGATGAGCCACTCCACAGCCCCTCTGGTGTGTGTGCTCTGCCGTGCAGCAGCGAGTTAATAAACCTAACTCTGTCCAACATCCAGTTATGTTCCTACTGGTCTTTATCACGCAGGCTTTTTTTTTTTTTTCCCAAAGAAACTTTATTTCGGATCAGTGTGTTTTTCCAGGACCCATCAGCTCCAAGTCAAGTAGTTGTCTTCAATCTAGTTGTGGCGGATGCAGCTCCATGGCCCATGTGAGATTGGAACCGGCAACCTTGGTGTTATGAGCCTGTGCTCTAACCACCTGAGCTAACCAGCTACCCCAGGCAGGCTTTTATCAATTCTCTTTCTTTCTGTTCTTTTATAGCTCTGTTTTCCCTGAAGTTGAAAATTGTCTGACCTTTTCTTTTACTTGGTTTTCTATACACCTATCATAAATGCATCCCCCAAACTCTTTGAAAGATGAGTAGACCTTCCCTCAATACCTTAAGCGCATCAGTTAACTCCTCTGTCCCCAAACTTTTTTCTCTTAAAGACACCCTCCCGGAGCCCTTCTTCCCCAAGCTCCAAGCTGCACTGGTTGCTCCCCTGCGTTCTTTTTAAAAAATATGACAACCTTTGTTCTGACACCTATCTCAAGGCATCATGGTTAGTGGTCAATGCCTCTGTCTTCCTGATTCCTCCTTCCTCCACCCCCATTCCAGGAGAGGCCCAGTATCTTGATATCTCTATTTCTTCAAAATCTATCACGGCGCTCAAGAAACGTTCAAATGAATGAATAAAAGAATAAATGAATGAACCAGTGGGGTTTCTGTATAGGAGAAGTGAAGTTTAAGGGGAACGATACTACATTCCTATCTTGTTGCACGGTTTAGAGGTGGCCTCAGGCTTTCTGCAAGCCCCTCGCTAACTTGGGAAGGAGGGAAGCCACAGTTCGCTGAGTCAGCTGCGCTCAGCGCAGGCAAAAAGCGCCGGCCGAGAGCCCGCCGAACGCCACCAGGAGGACTACAACTCCCAGAAGGCCGCGCGGAGGCGGAGCGCAAGCCGCGGAGGACTCCGGACGTGACGTCGGAGCTGCGCGGCCGGAGAAGCGCGCGGCAGAATACGTGCAGCTTGAACGCTGAATGAGGCGGGCAAGAGCGATGGCGGTGCGTCCCTGAGGGTAGGTGAAACGCAGCGGGGTGGTGCGGGGTGGAATGGGTCTCGGATGAAGTGAGGGTCGCGGGGTGGAAGGACCTCGAGCTCTGCTTTCTCTTCCCGCAGCGACCATGACGAAATTAGCGCAGTGGCTTTGGGCACTGGCGCTCCTGGGCTCCGCCTGGGCGGCCCTGACCATGGGAGCCCTGGGCCTGGAGCTGCCCTCGTCATGTCGGGAGGTCCTGTGGCCACTGCCCGCCTACTTGCTGGTGTCCGCCGGCTGCTATGCCCTGGGCACCGTGGGCTATCGCGTGGCCACTTTTCATGACTGCGAGGACGCCGCCCGCGAGTTGCAGAGCCAGATAGAGGAGGCCCGAGCCGACTTAGCCCGCAGGGGGATGCGCTTCTGACACCCTAACCCCATTGGCGCCGGGACAGCCCTCCCTTCCATCCCTCATTAAAGTGCAAGTTTGCTTTCTAACTCTGTTTAGTTTGAATGTGGAGAATGGGAGTTGGGGATTCTGTGCCAGCTGTGGAGAAGTGAGAGCCGCACGAGCCACTTTCCTGAGGCCATTAGAGCCTTGATGTTTGCAGCCTGCTGGTGTTTCTGCTTTTTGCTCCAAAGGAGGCAAAGACCCTCCCTCGCGATGGAGATGTGGTGTTTTTTTTGTTTGTTTGTTTGTTTTACATTTCTGGTCCTTTTAACCTTGTCAGGACGTACTTGAAGCTTAACGAACGTTCTTTCTCACAACATCCAAGCTCTGTTCTTTTTAAGGCCTTCCTAGGTCACCCCTAGGTCGCTCCTCCTCTTCTGAGTCAACCCAGCCAGCCCCAGAATAATTGCGGATCAGGCAGTGCACCTCTACCCTTCACCAAACCAGGCAGGTGGAGAACCACTGAAGAGCCCTGATGGGCAGGGGTAGGGAACAGTTTATTTTAAGGCACATTGTAAAGATTTCACCCCCAACTCCCAAAATTAAAAAAATATAATCTCTGAAAAATAAGTGTTTCCTCTCCCAGGCCCCACCCAGTCTTCTAAGTAAAGCCCTTTCTTTGGTCTCTCAATTCGAAGTTGTCTCTTGTTCTGGCCCCTAACCCATGGCACCTGTGGAACTGGTCAGCAGGAACAGCTGAAACAAAAGTTCTCTTTGGCAACAGATTGGCATTAAGGCGCCCCGCGCGGTCAGGTGAACTGCCTCAGGTTTGCAGGAGCTGGTAATTCCTGTCTTGTTCCTGGGGGTACTTCCAGAAAAGCCAGAGGCGAATGAGGCTGGTTAGGATTCCTGGAAGGTTGGGCACCTGGAATCACAAGGGCTGCTATGAGGCGAGGAGCTGCTCTCCCACCTCGCACTCCTGTCACCCCACCCCGGTGCTGCTTACCATGATGTAGGGATCGCTGAGTCGAAACCCATAGAGGGTCCAGGAGGCAGAGGTGAGGAGGGTGGCAATGGTGAGCGAGAAGGAGAGACTTTGGGTCGATTTACTCTGAATGATTTTGGCCTGTGGGAAAGGATGAAAGACACTCCTAGCCCAGATGCAGTAAAGCTCCCACGGTGCCTAAGAATTTCCTCCGAGAAAAGGTCAAACATGCTCCCTGGTCTTGTTACCTAACCGCCCCCTCACCCACCTCTACTGCCCTGTCTCCTTCCAGGATTTGAATCTTCCCTTCCTGTGGAGTGTAAGCTACAGGCTCTCGCTATGGGAGCCTGACCTTGCCTATCTCCCCACCTCCCTGAACATCCCCACTCACCAAGTCAGCCAGTGGTGAGAGGTACATACTGATGGTGAAGACACTGCAGAAGAGGCCCAGCTGCTGAAGCCTGGCTTCAACGTTGGGTACCAGGAGCCAAAAGTAGCCAAAACCCAGGAGAAGGACCCCCAGCAGGGCTGCAGTCTGTAGGAGCACAGCATGCTGCAGGGGAGAGAAGAGCCTGCCTCTAGATATGCCAGGAGCCCCCTCCGACTCCCCTGCTGGAATTAACTCAGCCTGCCTTCCGGTGGGGGAGCCAACTTTTGCCCAAGCTCCAGAATCACGCGCGTCACAGCTGTTTTCCCACCAGTGACTTCCTCCCACAACACTGGAGGTTATTATGGGAGGGAAAGAGACCTTTCTTTGTGAGCTCGGTATGCACAGTAGGAGCTTCATAAACGCCTTTATGATTGAGCGGGAAGCAGCGCTGATCATCTCATTCTCAGCCCCTGGCCCCAGCTCTGAAAGAGCTATGGAGACAATGCCCTTTCCCCTCAGTGTGTTGGGCAGCAAGGCACCAAGAGGCTAGGCAGAGCCTCCAGCCTCGCCAGCAGAATAGGGGGCGACCTGAGTCTCAGAAGGCTGGCTTCATGGAGGAAGGACTGCAAGGCCGGAGGGCCCTTCCCGGAAAAAGTGGCAGTGCCAGCCTGTTACAGCCTTCTAGGAAGCAGTGTTTGCTCTGCCAGCAAGGCAGGGCGTGCAGCAGGGACATGGGTCATGGGAGGGCCTCTACCTTTCGAGGGCAGTAGTGCAGATACACCAAGATGTATAGGCTCTGAAGCACAGCACCCACGGCGTTGACGACGATTAGGGTCCAGTCTCCCTTCAAGGTCCCGTAACTCAGCCAGCTCAGGTTGCTGCAGGGTGGAGGGGAGGGGTATTGGCCCACAGGGTTGTGGGAGGGGCACCCGAGGGGTCTCTTCCCCGGTCCTCCCCCTCCCCCACCTCCCTCAAACAGTCTTTCCCGCCGCAGCGGTCGCCCCTCTCACTTGACATCCGTGGTGAGAAAGGGCAGGAACTGGACATTATCCACTCTCCGGGTCATCCGCATGTGCCTTAGGTCCGAGCTGTAACGGGGCCCCAAAAGTAGGGGTGAGAGGGGAAGAGAGAACGAGGCTGTTGGGGACTCGAGATCCCCAGTGACTGTCATCCTCCCCGGGCAACGACAGACTCCCGGCCCCGCCCTCAGCTCTCTGGCTTTCTTCAGGTCAAGTGACCAGCCTCGCCTCGCCAGGTACCCCGGCCCCTCTGAACCGATTCCCCTTTGACCCCAGGGTGCGGACGCAGCGCGGGGCTGCGGCCACGTCGCCGTCCCCTTGTGTCCCTTTCCTGACTTCCTGGTCCTGCTCTAATCCGGCCCCGCCGCGCTCTCACAGGCCGGTGGAGAACATGCCGAGGGTGAAGAGCACGCAAGCTCCGGAAAGGAGCGAGTCGGCCACGCCGCCCGCCTCCATCCCTCCCGAAGTCGGCTCCGCGCTCGGCGCTCGGCGCTGCGGGCCGGCGAGCTGGATGCCGCGACGTCGGAGCCCCGCCCCTCCACGCCCCGGCCCCGCCCCCCCGCGCTCGGCCGTCCCCCCGGAAACTGAACCGGAATCCGGCCTAGGACGTCAAGCCGGAACTCGGGCCCGGATCCCTGGCCCACGGCCGACTCGCGGGGTTCCCGGTCCTGACGTTGCCCTCCCGGTGTCGGTCGGTCGCCTTCCTAGGGCTCCCCACTCTGTTTACCCCTTGGATCACCTAGATCCCTGGCCTCTTTCCCACGGGCCCCCGAGCCTACGCGGGAGACCTCAAAACAAAAGCTTGCTGGACACAACCCGACTTGAACGCCCCTGGGCCCTTCCCATCCAGGACTCGCGACCAGAACCTCAGTGGCCCAGGGTTTGGGAGGTTTTTCCGTTTGCTGAAGCCTCTTCCCAGTCTCTCCCTAAATAACAGGGATTGCCAGGAATG